TTCTACAGATAAGGAAACTGAGGCAAGGCGCACCGTAGCAGGTAGTAAGTGAGCGAAGGACTTGAGGACAGACATTTTGACTCCAGAGCCACTATGCTATATTGCCACTATGGAAATAGGTGGTTTCCTGCTCCCAGGGGTATCCACCCCCAAAGCACTTCCTTTGGAGACAGAGTCTTGGTTCAACTGAACAAATTAACTGGCTAGTGTCCAGGCTTCCGCTTATCTTTGGGTTAGGCTGTCATAGGTATTAATCTTCAAAGGTGGGTATAAGTTAAAGACCAGGGAGAAGTTCTCACTTGAGCAGAATAGATCTACTTATATATGTATGTTGGGCATAGGGGGTTGGGCCGGGGAAGGAGGGACATTGGCCCAAGTTCTTTGTATAAGATATTGGGCAGTTTTGGTATATTTCCATGTATTCCTAAATGGATGGCAAGGTGTAAACCTAAATGAATAGTTGAGACTAAGGTGGGAGAAGGGCCGTCAGGGTCATCAGTGGAATGATCTCTGATACATTTTGCCCATTTTTCTTCAAGGTGGGTTATTGTATCAGTTTCCTAGGGCTGCCATAACCAAGTATCACAGACTGGGCACCACAACACGATTTATTTTCTCACAGTTCTGGAAGCTGGAAGTCCTAGATCAAGGTGTTGGCAGGATTGGTTCCTTCTGAGGCCTTGAAAACAGGATCTGTCTCAGGCCTCTCTCCTTGGCTTGTAGATGGCCGTCTCTCCCTATGCCTTCCCATTGTTTTCCTTCTGTAGGTGTCTTTGTCCAAATTTCCTCTTCTTATAAGAACACAAGTTATGTTGGATTAGGGTCTACCTAATTTTAACTTAATTACCTCTTTAAAGAACATATTTCAAAATATGGTCACATTCTGAGGTACTGGGGGTTAGGACTTCAACATACAGACTTTATGGGGGACACAATTCAGCCCTGAACAAGTATACAGCAGCAGACATGTCTCACCTACTAGAGTTTCTATCACCCTAAAATAAGGCATATACATTGGCTAAGTGGTAAGTGACAAAGTATTGGTCTTTGGTTCCACTTAAGTGGTCTTTGAGGATTGCCTGAGAGCCTGTAGAAGTGGTTCTCTTCGTCATTTTGTAAACAGATGATGTTGGGATGATTCTTTCAGGGAGGTTTCTGTGGGTCCTCCTTTCCATGTGTAACAAATGACCTGATTCTTCTCCTGGTCCTCCCCTGATCACAGCAATATTGGTTGTGTGCTCAGTGGCAACTGTTTGGGCTTTATTCTATTAATATAAACTCCAATAACCTCAATTTTGATGTAGAAGTTCCTGTGGACAACTGACTCTTCACTCTTCACCTATGTCAGAGATCTCTCAGCAGCATAAGCCAACTTAAGGCACTTGAAATCACTGCAGGAAGAGACATGGTAAAGAAATTTATCCTGTCTGTCCAAAGGAAGTTATGCACATGTGTTACCGGAATGAATCATGTTCCAAGCTTCCTCCCAGACAGTAGAATCCAGTGAATGAGGAACAGGAACAATTCGAGCCCTAACAGAACTATAAAGTCATCAGTCTTCCATGCTTTGTGTTGCCCATCTTTGCTCTAACAACTTTTCATTTTCTCAGTGCCCTTTGGCCTTTCGATGCCCAGCAGTGGTTCAATATTTCCCAAATCCTCCTAGCCACCTCTTTCCCTAATGAGAGCATGCTGCTTGAATCAAACCTTAAAGGTCTTTTAGGCTCACCCAACATCTATCATAAAATACCCTTTATATCACCAGCTCTTCTACAATGTCTCAAATGATGAGAAATCCACTGCCTTGGGAAACAACTCATTTCATTTTTGAAAAAACTTCAATTTTTATAACATTCTTTCTTTTGGGAAACTTGATGTTTGTTCTAGCTAAATCTTGTGCACTGTTCCTAGTCTGCTCTCTATCAGTCATACTCAATCAGTTAATTCAATCTTCTTCCTGACGGCCATTGCACACCTGAAGACAGCTAGTGTGCCTGGCCTGAGTCGTCTATACCTCAGGTTAGACAATAACATAGCTGACATCTCCAACATGGTTTTGCATGCCGTTCTTCTGTTCTTTTCATCTGGGCCTCAATTCTCTGAGAGGGTCCTAATGGCTGCTAATGTATCAACACTTAAGATATACTGAGATTCCATCCCACCTTTCAGGGCTCTGATTAAATGTTACCTTCTCTGTGAAGCCTTACTTGTAACTCAAATACCAGACAATTAACCGCTTCTTTCTTGGTGTTCTCATACCGCCATATTACTTTGCTATAACACTTACCATAGTGTATCACAACTATCGATTGACATTTTGTCTCTCAGCAACATTATGGCCCTCTGTCTGACTAGGGACTGGGTCTTAATCTTTACAGTATTTTTTTTATTCCTGGCTCAGAATAGGGGATTCACGTTTATTGGTTGCTTTTCTGGTTAAAGAAACCAAAGTTCAAATTCCAGGTACCATAGCTGATCAGAAAAGGAAATACCCTTGTTCGGGGAGATTTTTGATGGTTCTCAGATCAGACCTTTTGAGGAAAATCTTGGGTGACTTATATTTAAATAGTCCAGGCCAGGCTGAAAGACCTGTGGGGAGTGCAGTGTGCAGTATGGTATCCCACTGAGACGTCCCAGATGCTTCCGGATGTTCCAGTGCCAGTCATGGCTTGCATCCCTCGTATCAAATTGTGCCTGGTGTCCCTTATCCCCCATGCCAGTTAATGAGGCTTGACATTAAAAAGCTGCCTATTTTTCCCCCTCTCATTGAGGAGTGATTGATCATCAGGCTTGTTTACTTACTTTTCTAAGATGAGGGTTGGAGGCCAGTATGACCAAGGAATGATTTCTTCCCCGGAAGAGAAGCCACCAAAATGTATGTCCTCTCTCCAAAGGCACATAGTTCCTAAAAGGAGTTTTGGCCATCTTGCTATATCAGTTGCTTGCTTGCTGATATTAGGTAAACATTGTCCTGGTTATCTTTTAAATCCTGAATGCAGTGGAGGCAGATCTCAGACCTTCCGGAGATAATGCTTCCTCTCCCACCAATAAACAGCATTCTTTGTCTTCAGGCCAAATTTATTAAGATCCTCTTGCACCTAAACTATGTTCTTCTAAGGCTGGGACGAGTTCCTTCTGTTCATTTACTCAAACCTCTTCTCTGTTGTGGTTTTTGTCCACCTGCATATCCCAGAAAGTGGCTATCTATAGAACTATTACACATTCTTCAAGGACAAAAAAAATTCAACCTTTCCTCTCGCTCTGACCTGTGACCAGTTCTTATCAGCAACTGCCTTTTTATTTTAGCATATTTGACTGAGTTCAGGATTTGAAAGGCAGCCTGGTGCTTTACAACACCTCAAGACTTCCCAGCAACCCAGCTACTGAGGTGCTATTCCAAGGGGGATGCTCTTCTCCTTTAAGACGCAATACGACAGTTCCTATTGCAATCTAGCATGTTCATTGAAGTTAACTTTGCAGGATTGCCTCACGTGGTATTTGTCATTTGGCGTAGCCTGAAAGCAAATTCTCAGGAATAAATAAATGCAGTCAGAGTTTTCCCATCTTAAGTGGGGCTGGGAGGCTATTGGGAGGGTCATGACAGATATCCTGAAAGCTTAATTCTAGGTCTGTGGACCATGTAGGAGGGATTGCTGTCCCCCTCTCTGTGTTCTGAACATATAAATAAGAAGCATCAGAGACATTTCAGAGGGAGAAATACTAAAAGCTACATAAAGGTCACTTTTTGATGCCTGAAGTAGACCATTTAAAAAGTAACATCACTTTACCATAAATATGTGGAATTTGAACATATTTATATTTTCTGTCTTGAACGGACAATATTACTCAGGGAAAATAGCTCCACTGCACAGAAAGCTAGTGACTCCTGGGACATTGTTCTAATTGTATATGCTCATTGTTGTAGAAACCCTAATGACCCCCTCAACACCGAGGCACAGAATCACCATCAGAGATAGATCTGGACAATGGATATGGCCCATAATGCAAGAGTGCATTTCTCATGCTGGAAGCTTGTTAGGCCTGCCTCGTTCTATGGTAATGCTTAAGGTTTTTGGTGAGGCTCTGCCAATCCACTGGAGGGAAGGCCTCTGTAGAAGCGCCTTCCTTTTCCACTAGTAAACAAGGCAAGAGAGGGTGAATGTAGCCCTGAGAATTCAAGACGAGTTTATTAAGATGCATCTGAGCTTGAGGCTCTCATGCAGGAATGCTGCAGTCAGGAGGTGAGGCGGGGTGGGGGGGGGAGCCTCATTGGACGGTTAGTGCAAATGCAGTTGTCAAGGCAGTGAGAGAGAGTGTTGCTTAGCATTGAAATCATGTATTCCAGATGTGGGCATTTGGTAGTCAATCTGTTCTGAAGTGACATGCTGCTGAATGTTTAAAGGGCTTCAGCCGGGTAGAGCACAATCTGATTGGGCAAATTGCTAAAATATTTAAAGTGCAGCCTGTTAAAGCTTTTACTGCGAAGAGAACCACGTCAGAAGTCGTAGTCAGAAAAAGCAAGTAATTGGCTTTCCACCCTCATGCCAGTCAGTCAGCATGAGACTCTATTCCTATTCCTTCCTCTTCATTGCCAATGCTAATAACAACACTTTGAGTGTGTCTGTGTGTGTGTGTATATGCATGTGTGTGCATGCATGCACACTGGAGAGATTGGATAGCTGGTAAAATGAGAGGAATGGGAATTACATATCCATAAAAAAAGAGACCAAATTCGCAAAATGATGTGAAGGCCATTTTGGATGAAGGGGAACAGGAGAGAATGGCAGAATCATTACCTGACAAAGGTCACTTGCCCTTCCAGGTGGTGGTGGTTTGGGGCAGTTTTCTTTGAAACGGATGGGTTTTACAAGCGCAGGAACGGCCATCAGTGACAACCCTTTCCTCGGCATCTTTCAACTCCTCTGAGATGTAACTCGGGGCACTTTCCATGGATAATTTATCACATTTTCCACTTAGGTTTTCCTGTCCTTTCTCTCCAGGCATGACCCCTTGTTAATTCCTGGCAATGATCAGATTGACAACATGGACTCCAACGTGAAGAAGTACGACTCTACCGGGATGTTTCACTGGTGCGCGCCCAAGGCGATAGAGAAAGTCATCCTGGTGAGTGACAGGCCGTGGAACTGATGACATCCACTCTGTCCCAAGCTATGTTCGCTAGGAATATGGCTTTCCTAACTGGATTCTGGGATAAGACTGTCCCGGGTCCTAATTATTTTTGATCATTGAAATTCGGGACACATATTGAAGCAGCTAGAACTCTCATCTGAACATGAACCAAGAGCAGAATTTTTCATCTCTGAATATTTATTGGTTCATTAAAATAGGGAGCGATCAGCATGCTGCATGAAAGGCATCATGGGAGGCTGTGTGTACCATAAATTCTCTGGCTATGGCTCTGGGGCCAGAGCCTGCCTATGCCAGTTAGTAGCTACATGGCCTTGGGCAAGTCATTTGACCTCTTTCCACTTCAGCTCTCTTATCTGTAAGAAAATGAGATGAGAATGACCCTAACTCATCGGGTTGTAGTGAAAATTAAAACCTAGCATATGACTCAACAAAGTTAACTCTTTATCATTATTATTAAATGCCATGGAGAAATATGAAAGCTGCCTGTATTATTATTTGTTTATAGCAATATCTGGTGTTTGTCTAGATAACAGCTTTGCATATTTGTGATCCTTCTTAGCACACCATGTAGACAGGCAAAATGCATTTGCAGATGATGCCAGTAGTGAACCATGGGTCACCTCTGGAAGGCAGGAGCTCAGAGCCCTATTTCATGGTTGGCTCATCTCCTTGGCCGCCATGGGCTTCTTCTAGTTTGTCCCAGGAATGTCAGCATAGACAACAAGCCATTCTCCTCTTTAGACTTCCCTATTAGCAGCTGGAGATTTTAGTGCCTGCATCAGCTTTCCCACAGTTTATTGTCTTGCGAATCCATGGAAAATGGATTAATAATCAGAAAGGTCAGATGGAAGGGTTCTTTCTCCCTGTGCCTCTAATCCCCAGATTGCTCCCTTATGTCAGCCAGGAAAATCCTATCATTTCTGGTGTCATGGCCACCCTTCCTAAAAAAGAACTGTTCTGGCTCTTTAGAATGGCTTTGTACACCAATCCACCAGATTTTTTTCCTGCGCTTTATCTGAATGTGTGTGTGTGTGTGTGTGTGTGTGTGTGTGTTCTCAATTTAATTGTAACCAAGAATGAGGAGCCAATGCGGCACTGCGCTAGAGGCTGTCTTAGAGGTGTGAAAGTTGCAGACAAAAGCACAGAAAGTCAGAATTCTCAGGAAACAGCCACTGTCCAATTTACCAGGAGTGCAATTTGTTCTAAGCACAAAGGTGCTTGTGTAGTTACATCCTGATACTCTATCCATCACACTTTTGCCCTGATGACGTAACACAGCCTAGTGCTGTTACCCACGTGAGGCAGGTCACAGGCTGGGTGCCATATCTGGGATCCAAGGTTTTAATAACTAATGGACATCCGATCAAAGTCCCCTACCAGCATGGAAGAGCTTAGGGAGGCGAGTTGCTGCTGTTCTCATCTGAAAAGTAACATCATTTAACAAAACATTTATAACACGTTTTTTATGTGCTAGGCACTGCTATTGTTGCTGGGGGTACTACCTCTCCTATATCTTGTATTCTAGTAGGGGCTAAGAGAAGATGTCCAGGTGGACAAATGAATATGTAATAACATGTCAGATATTGATAAAGTGCTATGAAAAAAAAGCAGAGTCATGGGCTGGAAAGAGACAAGGTGTGCTATTTAGCCAGCGTGGTCCAAGAAGCCCTCTCTAAAGTCACATTGGAGCCGAGATGACAATGCTCAGATGTTTTGTGATGTGTGTACCTACTGGGTGCAGGACACTAACCACTTAAGGGGTTAAAGCATAAGAGATGGCCTCAATCTTGAGGAAATGATCATCTAATTGGAGAGAAGACATAAAATGTAACCATGAAGCAATATATTTAAAGTTAAGTGTTAAGAGGCACAAAGTGCTATTCAAATCTAAGGGAACGACTAGCAAACATCTAAGTGGCCGGGGAAGTCATACTGGCTACAAACAGGTAGTGCTTTGAAGGGTTCAAGGCCAGTAAGGCCCGCTTGGGTGAGGCCTTGAAGGATGTATAGGAGACACAAGATGCACGTGTGAATAGTTTCTCTCGTGGGTCATAAACCTGGAAGAATCAGACCCCGCAGGGCTGAGGCCCAGGAATTGGGATCTTCACAAGAATCCCCCGGTGATATTGCTGTGGCTGATGTAAGGATTGGTGTTTTGGTCTCCAGAGCTAGCCTTCTGGGGTCAGCATCTGTGCCTCGGCCACTCTGCTAACTGGCTATTCTAGATTTCCTGCCCCTCCTCTGGGCCCAGTTTGTATTCCTCAGGCTTGTGACCTGGCCAACTAAAAATAATTAGAAGCCCATCCCAGCACATTACAGACTAGTTGACCCCCTACTGGTGGTACCCAGGCACACGTACTTTCCTGAAGCCAAGATAACTAACTCCAGGTCTTCTTCATGAAGCGGTGATGTGAGGTGTGACTCTCCAGTAGTTCCACCTTGGTCACAGTTTATAAAACATTTCTGACAGCCTGTGTCTTAGGTGTTCCTGTACAGTTGCAGAGGGAAACCAATAATGGTGACAGTCGCTATTTTATTCTAACGATCAGGGAGCAAAAGCTCGCTTCTTCCTGTCCTTGGGGGTTACTGTAATAACCCTGACATTGTCGTGCATTGCAATATTGGCATTTAAACAATCAATACACTGGTCAATTCTAGAGATTAAATGGAGCAGAGTTTGATACATCCAGTGGACATTAATATGCCTTGCCCAAAGCATTGTAAGCCACGTGGGCCATCCAGGCACGCAGTGGGTGGACAGGGAGGAAAGCAGGCAAGGTGGGAGGGATTGGACCAGAAGGAGAGGAAGACAAAGGCCCACTGCTGGTCTTTCTGTGTTCTCTTCACTAATACAGTGAGTAGGACAACCAGCAGTGGCTAACCATTTGCATTTTCTGGGAAGCTGGGTTCCTTCTCTAACGGGGGTGATTTGATTCTTTCATTTGCCTCCTATGTAGATACAGGCCTAGGGTTGGGGAAAGACAGGCTATTGACTTTCTGATCTATCTCTAGATCCTTTTAATGATTATTTGGGAATCTTCCTTTGGTGATTTATGCAGGCGAGCCACTCTAGGCATGCTTCTGGAAACCCCAAGGCAGCAGTGCACAGGGGTCAGCAAACTTTTTGTAAAGAGTCATTAATAAATAATTTAGATTTTACTGGCCAAATGGTCTCTGTCACAGCTAATCAACTCTGCTGTTATAATGTAAAAGCAACCATTGGCAATACCTAATGAGTAAGATTGTCTGTGTTGCAATAAAATGTTATTAGAATTTGAATTTCATATAATTTCCACATATTAGGAAATATTCTTCTTTTGATTTTTTTTCAACCATTTTAAAATGTAGAAACCAATCTTAGCTCACCGGCCATGACCATAAAATGTGAGCAGTGGACCAGATTTGGCCTTTGGGCCATAGTTTGTCAGCGCCTGGCTTAGGATATCATGTTCTACCTACTGACACAATGATGTACTAATCATCTCATAGATGAGCCTAGAACGCAAAACAAAAATTTCTTGAGCTGAGACCAACATAGGATCTGACCATTTTATCATCATCTCAGCAAGAGTCAAAAAGGGCAGTTCACTTTATCAACAATTTAATCGAAACTAAGTCTCCCCTTTCCAAATACCATCAATATTGCTATTCCCTCTGACTTTTGCTCTGAAAATCATTATGAAAGATTGCCTGCTCATAGGTATGTGTGGCATATCTTTTTAAAATCTTTCATCACAAAAGATAGTGAAGTGTGTAGATATATGTTTCCATATATTTATTACACTAATTAAGTTCAGACAATTAAGTTCACGAAGTCATCCTAGAAAAAGTGCTACATACCTCATTGCTGAATATCACTATGGTCACCTTCAAAGTACTCCTCTTGGGAAGCTATGCACTGATGCCAGCACCTAGTCCACCCTTCAAAGCAATTTTGGAACTCTTTTTCTGAAATGGCCATCAGAGCTGTCATCGTATTACCCTTGATGTCCTGAATGTCATCAAAATGTCTTCCTTTCAATATTTCCTTCATCTTTGGGTAAAGAAAGAAGTCATTGGGGGCCAGATCAGGTGAGTAGGGAGGGTGTTCCAATACAGTTATTTGTTTATTGGCTAAAACCTCCCTCACAGACAGTGTCATGTGAGCTGGTGCATTGTCGTGATGCAAGAGCCATGAATTGTTGGCGAAAAGTTCAGGCCATCTAACTTTTACACTCAGCCTTTTTTAGCACTTCCAAATAGTAAACTTGGTTAACTGTTCAGTTGGTACAAATCCATAATGAAGAATCCCTGTACTATCAAAAAAGGTTAACATCGTTGCAACAAGTTCGCGAACTTAATTGTCAGACCGTACACACATACTCACATTATAAATATATATGGCATGTGTATAACATTGTTGAAATAACAATAATAGTGACAATAGCATGCTGTAAGCACTCAACAAATGTTTGCTCGCTCCTTTACACACGTGATTGTTTTAGTTCTTACCAGAGCCCTATGAGGTCTTCTCTCCAGTGTTCATGCCCTTTTCCCTGTTACAGACTCGAAGTGAAGCCGCCATGACCGTTCTAAGTGGCCATGTCGTGGTCTGCATCTTTGGCGATGTCAGTTCAGCCCTGATTGGCCTCCGGAACCTGGTGATGCCACTCCGTGCCAGCAACTTCCATTACCACGAGCTCAAGCACATTGTGTTTGTGGGCTCCATTGAGTACCTCAAGCGGGAATGGGAGACGCTTCATAACTTCCCCAAAGTGTCCATATTGCCTGTAAGTCCAAGGTCATATTATTGATGTTTGTTTGTTTGTTTTTTTTCTCCCTTCCTTTCATTCACAAAAGAAAACCCCAGATGGCTATAATAGTTGTAGGTTTGAACATGCCTCTTTATCTGTTTATGGGCCTGAGGACTCAGTCTTTCCCCTGTGCTCTGTCTAGGACTATCCAAACCCCGGAGACCTTATTAAAAGGAATTTGTAGCCAAGTTCAGTCGCTCATCAGACATGAAGTTTAGCTGGTATCAGATGTATTAACCATATCAGTGTCTAAACACTTTCTCTTTTGCCTACCCAAACCTCGTGCTGTGTGATAGTATGATGCTTAGAGCAGAATTTACTTATGGAACTATTTATATCATTTTACTTATGATATTATTAATGCTTAGGGAAATATTGATTGTATCACATTCTATTTTTAACTAAATGTATTTAACAGAGTTCTTTATTTATTTCTGCTGTACAGAAGGCCAATCCCTCCTGCTGGTCAACCCCTACCTCCCATTCATTTAGAAGTCCAGCAGTGATAGCTTTGTGTGTGCATGAACATGGATGCTTGTGATACTCTTGATTACAAAACACTGGTACCCAAAACTAAAAGAAAAGTTTGGGACTCCACAATTTAGTGCGAGGGCGTGGGATACATGACCTGGGAGTCATGTAACTAACTACTTCCTAATCATTAATCGATATATTTGCCACGAACTTTAAACATTGTATTGTATATTTCAACATTTGATATAGTTCGCCATGTCACAAATCAATGCAAATATCACTTATTCTCCACACATTTTTCTTGGAAGTTCTTATCCCTGAAATTGAGGAACATGAATTTGATGCTACATTTCAAGAGGTCTGGGTTTTTTCCCACTTATGGAGCTGAAATTCGTTATTTTTATTATCAGCTTCTAGAACCTCAAAAATGGAAAACAAAGAATCAAGTAATATAAGTCAATAAAGAACACATAAGGACCTGCCCATAAGTAATCTGCATTAATAGCCACCATTTGTCCTTACATATATGCCAGGCATGATAGGTGCTCAATAAATATTTAAAGAAGTAAGAAAAATATAGACAGATATCTTTTGGATGCTGGGCCAAAAACTCTCTGATTTAATAAGCACATGTAGTTAAAAGTAGGCAGAAAAACAAACAGTCATACATAGAAGAGCATAAACAGATATACACCTTGCTAATTTCAGACGTGATCGATTTGATTCTGTTTTTCCACCATTATCTTCCTACACGTAAGCTTACACACAGTCCCCTGGGAACTCATGGACTGGGGTCTAAAAGTATTTTGTAAGGAGCTTATGATTTTTCTGGGCTACATGAGTCTGTGTGTATGTGTGATGTTTGGGGTGTGTGTATGTGTATGTGTTTCCTTCTCCTGCCCTTGTACACATCCACTCACCTGCCTGCTTCTATGTGAGTGAGCTTTTATATTTGCATGTCCTATTGAAACCCTCCAAAATTTAGCATGCTCAAACACAAGATACTTGTACAAAATGGGCCTTCTATGTCTTCACACATTTCATTGTTTAAGCAGTGTCTCACAGATAGGACCAGCCCTGAGAAACACAAGGTATTTCTACTTACATCATTTGTATTTCTTGAGTTTTGAAATCATGTGTATACAACTGTGCAGGGATTGTCTTATATCACAATTACTGCTGGCTTCCCTACAAGATGAAAATTAAAAGAATATGGATGTAGGCAATTGAGGCTTATGCACTGGTGAAATGATTCAGGTAGTTGGTCAGACATTTTGTATGAAGAAACCCCAGGAAGAGAGGGGATTCTTCTCCTTCCCTCCTAAGATACTGCTCTGGAGTCTGGAATTACAGTAGTAGCTTCCCAGACCCATCATATTAAATGCCTCTTCCTCCTTAGTTCCTCTTTGAGGCAGTATTCTGGGGCTGAGAATAGCATCACGACTGCCACTGAATCATAAAAGAGGGTCAATGCCCTTGACCTCCGCAGCCAAGTCAATCTTCTCAAAGCCCCTTTTCCAGGAAGCAGAACCAGAGCAAGACTCCAGAGATAGAAGGCAGTTGGCAAACCCCCTCCCTACACGGTCTGGTGAGGTGAAGGGTACTGGAGCGTCCATAAAGGCCACGCAGAAGCTGGATTCAAGCTCAGGACCAAGGAGGCCGGGGACTGGATGTGAACTCCAACATGATGCCCCTCAGGAGCTTGGCCATGAGATGGATGGTCTGATGGGTTCTGCTGCTACCCCTCCCGAGGACACAAAGCCTGTGGAGCACATGCCCCTCACTTCCAACACTGACCTTTCTGTTCACCTGTGGGTGCCTTCCAACATCTTGCTCATTATCTCCTTCGTCTAGGTTTTTCTCCCACTGTTTTTAGTTGTTACGGGATTTTTAAAACATCTGCTTACTGGCTTATTTATTTTTTAATTACACTAGTAATATACAAACACATTCTTTTTATAAAATATTCAAACAATAATGAAGTATGTAAAGTGAAAAACAAACTTTTTCCCTTCACCCCCCCAATCTTATTCTCCTCCCCAGAGGTAATTACCGTTATTAGTGTGTTTTTCCTGAACTTTCTCTCTGAGTGTACTTGCATTTATAAATACATCCATAAATACATAGTTTCATTTGGAGCTTCTCTTTTTACATAAATGAAATTATACTTTCAGATTGTCTAGAACTAGTGTTTTTTATTTTCCCACTTATCTCTCTATTTTAGTGATTCTCCCAAGGTGATACCTGCATGGAGAGTTGTTTCATTCCCTTTACCTGCTGCACAGACTTTGATTATATATACGTCCAGTGATATATTTAACCATTCCTGTGTTGTTGGACAATTAGGCAGTTTTCTTGTGTTTTCTCTTGCTGAAAACATGCCATAAAATTATATGACCTGAAGCTTCGCTCCTTTCCATCTCACTTTTGCAAGATGCACATTCCACTTCCTCCCCCATCCTCCAAGTGGAGAAGCACTTTCAGCCCACCTCATCCCACCATGCTCTCAGCTATTTCCCCTCAGCTGCCCTGGAAATTCTACTTGGAGCTGCTGTCTTTTGCTTGAGACAGAAGTGACCTGCTACTAAATAAACAGGCATGTGAAAGCCAGCCCCTCGTTATGTTCTGAAAGCCAGAGGTTGCCACAGGACAGTTACTTAAATCAAGACAATTTCCAGGCAGGAAGGAGATGTAGCACCCTGGCATTATTCGCCTTCCTCGTTTGTTAGTAATAGCTTGATTGAGTATTGAGAGCAAGCCTAAAATGCTGCCATCAGCACCGACTACCCTTTAGATTAGCACACAGCTCCTATTCCCTTGAACGTACTTAGGCCAGCTTAATGTCAAGGCATAAAAAAGGTACTTGTTAAATAATTTCCCAGAGCTCCGGCACAATCTTTAATTTGTTTTTATTTTTTCCCCCTCTTTCCCTCTCGTCCCTCAGTCTCATTTTTTGCTTCTCCTTTTCTTTTTCTTCCCTCTATGCCAAAGGGTACGCCATTAAGTCGGGCTGATTTAAGGGCCGTCAACATCAACCTCTGTGACATGTGTGTTATCCTGTCAGCCAATCAGAATAATATTGATGATACTTCGCTGCAGGACAAGGAATGCATCTTGGCGTCACTCAACATCAAATCTATGCAGTTTGATGACAGCATCGGGGTCTTGCAGGCTAATTCCCAAGGTAAGGACAGCCTGTAATACTCCTCTCTTGTGCCTACAGGGGACAGCGGCTGGCAAGAGGGATATCCTTCACTCAGTAATTCAAAGAGGCTCACATCAGCCTTCCTGGCAGTGAAACCTGCGGCCACTGCAAAGGGGCATCTGCTGCCTCTTCTTGCCATCCCAGGGAGCTGGGTTAAGACCTGGACACCCACACTCAGAACAGGCTGCCTGCCCAGAGAATAAGCCAGACTTTAAATTGCCCCTGCCTCAGCCTTCACAAGCAGTGGCTGTATGACCAGGGTCGCCTACTAACTGTCAGAACACTGAAAAGATGCTGGCTGAACAACTCCCATTGTTTCTCCCCAGAATATAGCTTTGCCATTGACCTGCATTAGGCTTTGCCATTGCTAGAGCTTCACGGGGGTGTCAAGCTTTACATTGTTATACGCTGACCAAGGGATGGTGATCTCTGGAGAATGGGGACTGTGTGGACACTAAAAGTCATTTATTAAGGGGTAATGCTCCTCGGTCCACGCATTCTATAGGAGGCACCACAGCCCTAAAATGATACATGTTTGCCATCTCTGCTCTGCCCCAGTCTTCCCTGACATTTTCTCTGGGATCCTGGACAGATAACTGCAAGATGTCATCTAGGAGTCTCAGAGAGGCAACGCAGCAAAAATCCTCTAACGAACAACCTCACTAATCAGGGCCTTAGCAGGATAGGGTGTGAAGCATTTCCCTCTGAGTAACACCACTGCATAGGCTTGCCATGAACTGTAGGGTCACAGTCATATGTGGTGTACTTGATGGGTAGCATTGGGTACCTGATGGGGACTTGAGTCCCATCACTGCGGGATCAAAGGGAGAAGGCGCACAGCCCACGAGGACTATAGCTGCTGGGATGTGAGTGCCATCTTACTGATGAGATGAAGCTTGGCCCATCATGCAGTTTAGACCTGTGTGCCTCGTCATCTTCTGTCAACTCAGCATCACCACCACTTCCTTCTAACGTCCGCCCGACATTGCAGTGAAGCCAGGAACATTAATTTCCAGAATCTTCTTCCTTGCATGGTCTTAGCTGGAGTCTGCCAATGAAAGAGGGGCCTGGGAGAGAGCTGGAAACGCAGAAAAAAAAAGAGCCCTTGATTCTCTGAAGGCAGCTGCAGCCAGACCCTGAGCCGATGTGAGGTTTAAAGCAGCACTCAGGGGAGCTTTCTGAGAACCACTGGCTTTGCTGGTTGAAGGGACTGGGAGGGCAGGGTGTGGGCTTCTCTGCGTCTGAGAGTCACAGCACCTTCTGGTGAAAGCTCAGGAGAACCTTTCACTTGGCATTGCAAGTGAAATGGCTAATGGGGGCCTCTTTCAATTGCCCCTACAGCCCTTCCAATGGTTGTGTCAATCTCTGATTTTCTTTATACTTGGAATAGAGTAGCTTCTATTCTTGACATAACCCTGACTGATACAGCCTGAAGCCCAGTTTTGATCTCTCCATGCCACCATCCTCCCTCTCTCCCCCAAATCTGAATCTTGGCATCCACTTGCTCAGCCATGCCTGCAGGACTCAGGACAAACATGTGTGCTCTTGGACCAGAGTATTCATGCATCCTTACGGAAAGTTTTTCTAGCATGATACAATGTAACATGAAAAATGTGCCTTAACATGGAGAAGGTAGAGTCCTCATGGGGGTTTGTGTTCGGACACTTGCCACTGCATGTTACTTGGTCCCCTAAACTCACAAAACCTCTTTTCCCTTTTCTCTTTTCGCATTCCCTTTTGGTGTCACTATTATAGCCCACATGGTGTCAGAACTGACCCAGCCTAGGGATTCTGGACCAGACACTTTCTAAAATGATCTGAGATGTGATGGCTGGTTGTCAAAAACAATTACAGAGAATGGTGGCATACCCCGTGCTGGATGGTATATCTGATGTGACAGTTGGGTCTATGAGATGCAGTTTTAATGTACAGCAGGCAGGACTGCAGTGAAATTATATCAAGCAGGTGAAGCCACTTCTTGCTGGTCAGCAAACATCAGCTCGGAACCACTTTACAGCTCTTTACCAGCAACTAAGTGCCTTTATTTACAGAGCGCCTGTCACTTTCCTTTGGCTGGAGAGCTGGTATATTATTTAGCGCGCATTTATCTGGGGAAAACATTTCAATTTAAATCAGCTGGTACAACAGTGGCTCTTGCCAGACTGTTTCCCTGTGGTTCTAAAAGACAAAAACTGAGCCTGATCTGGGAAGGGAGGGTGAGCAGAGGGAGGAAGGGTTCATTCTCAGAGAACAGCTTGAGTTAGTGCCTGAAAAGAGGGAGTGTGTGATTGAGTTTCCCATCATGCTTTCACAGCAAGGTAGGAAAGCAGCATCTTACAGTTTCTTCCTGCCTAACCTTCCAGTAAGGGTGACTCGTAGGGAAAGAAAGAGGAATACATGAGTGCCCACTATGTGTCAGTTACTATCAAGGCTCAGGACACAAAGGTGACATGGGCTCAGCCACTCACTATCCTTGAGGGGCTCAGGTGAGTGGAGGAGGCACCCCCACAAATAGTTACTGTACAGTGAGACAAGGAACAGGCTAGGAATACAGGAGCACAGAGGTCTTTTTATTTTCTATATTTCAAGGGCTTGAGAAGGCTTCCAAGGAAAGCTGACATTTGTGGATTAGTTGAATAAATGTGGCTCTGGAGTATTCGCATGACTGAGGAGCTGAATTTTTCCTTTCATTTAATTTTAATACATTTCAATTTAAAGAATAGCACGTGGCTAGTGATTCCATATTGGACAGCATGGGTCTAGAGCACAGGCTTGTTGCCTTGCTAAGGGTCTGGAATTATAGGAAGATGATGATTCAATTCATCTTTTTAAAAGGTAACAGGCAAAAATATGTGCATGGGTTAGAGGTGGAGAGAGATGGTGGATGAGCTATGTAAGAAGACTACCGCAATGAACTGGAAGGGGTGGGATGAGGGCTGACAGCACAGCTTTAGTGATGTCAGTAGCTAGGGCAAGACCAGTTGGGTGGAAGGAGGTGGGGATGAGCAAGGAAGAGCTGTTGAGAATAAGTTTCGAGGCTGGCTACTGGGTGGATATAAAAGTGATTAAGTAAGCAGAAGACCCAGGAGGAGAAACAGGATTGGGCAGCAGGTACATAATTTGGTCCTAGTCCATTTGAGTCGGACATATCTGCAGAATATCCAACAAGAAATAAGAACATGAGGCTATAGGAATCAAGTTAGGTTTGAGACTATAGACTTGGAAGTCATTGGTGATGGATAGTGAATAGGCCTGCAGATTGGTCATTTCCCAGGGAGACAAGGCAGAGCAACTGAGATAAAAAGGATAAACACAGAACCTTGGGAAACATCAACATCGAAGGAACAAACAGGAAGAGAATCCAGTGACAGGGACTGAGGGCAAAGACTTAGGGAAGTATGAGTGGGTGTGAAGGATAAAGGAGAAGAAGAGTTGAATAAATTCCAGATTAGCAATCTAGAATGGATCCTAATTATTTGTCAATACATGTGTTTTCTTAAGTAGACTGTGGGCTCTTTAAGAGGCAAAAACTCTTCCTCATCTTCTTCATCTTCATGTCTCTAGTGGTTCTAGCACAGGATCTGACAGATTTAGCATGCAATAATAATTCGTTGGGCTGAACTGATTTGAAAGGAAATTATGTTTAGCACCATCAGATACTGCAGAAATGACAAGTAGATGAGGGCCTGCCTAAAAGAGACAACGGTGCATTTGACCCTTGGGAAGTTGATGATGACCTCAGCAAGAACAGCTGAGTAGCCTGTTGCCCATTGAAGCCGGCATTCAGGGGTCTGAAACGTTAATGGGAGATGAGAATTGGAGACCATGTATTGCTTTTTAAGTGCTGATAGGGAGAGAAATAGGATATTTCAGAGGATCTTGTCAAAGCAAAGGTTTCCTTTTGTTTTTAGAAAGGGGAGAAATAGAGCATAGTTGTTGGCTGCAGTACACTGAGGTGAGTGACCTCCCAAAGAGGGAACGTTTGCAGCTATAGGAGAGAGTTTTTAAATGATAGTGAGAAGGACAGAGAGAAGCAGGGGAAGATGCTGTGGCCTTAAAAAGGAGAAGGAATGAGACTTGTTTCTCTGAGACAGAAGGCTGGATGGGAGAGATGAAACTGGAGGAAGCTCAGCCTGATGGCTTCTCCTGTATTCACGGAGCAGCCAGCTTGGTTTTCCTTGAGGTGTTAAGCGAGCGGGACAAGTGGGACAGCGGGCTGATGGTGATAAAGGCTGAGAGCAGACACCACGGGAAACACATGAGGGAGAGATTGGAGTTAGGCGAAAGTACGTGTGGGCATTGGTAAGGGCCAGCTGAGATTGGAGCCGTGAAGGTGTAATGAGACTGGTCAGCACTGCCCTGCAGTTTTCTGTGCAGCGCTTGGCAGAAAGAGCAGAGAAAGTAGAAATTGGCTTGAGTTGGGGATGGAGACTCAGAGCAGGCAAAGGATCCCATGGTGCTGTTGAAAAAATATTGAAATGAGTGGCTGCCTAGTCAAGACGGTAGAGGGAGAAATCAAACCAGAGTTGGGCTTATAGACCGAGAGGCCAAAAATGAAGTAAGAAATAGATCCCCATGAGCTCAAAGAACAGGCCTGTGGAATAAGGGGGTGGGAAAGCCAGAGAGTGATTTGACCAGAGAGAGGAATATGTGATGGCCTCAGAGAGTGTAATATTCCTTGCAGAGCCAGAGCAGAGCTTGGAGGTATTACTCTGAAAAGAGTTATCCGCAAGAACTCTGAGCCCAAAGTGAACCCACCTGAATGAACACCACAGCCACTACCACCACCATCACCACCACTGCCACCAACGACAGCAGTCATAATGCTTCAGGAATGTTTGCTGCTAATATGTGGTAGACGTTTTGGCAACCAACACTATGCATTTCTTAGATCACTAATTCCCACACTTGGCTGCATGTTATGGTCACCTGAGAAACTAAAAAATATTGATGCCTAGGTTGCACCTCATCAGTTGTGG